GCCATCGCTATTAGGTTGGAGGCCATTGCTTTTAGGTTGGAGGCCATCGCATTTTTCATTTGGGTTGGAGGCCATTGCTGTTAGGTTGGAGGCCATTGCTTTTAGGTTGGAGGCCATTGCTGTTAGGTTGGAGGCCATTGCTGTTAGGTTGGAGGCCATTGCTTTTAGGACTGTAGCCCATTGCTTGTAGGACTGTAGGCCATTGCCTTTGGTCGGAGGCCTTTGCTTTTAGGACTGTAGGCGCAGATTGTCAATGCTAACTTCGATTGGCTGTAGGAGGATCAGGAGGAGTCTCAGATCGAGGGCTCCACAACCTCCGCGCCTGTTCCGGCAGAACGAGCACTTACAGATAATCTTTCAGACAAGGACAGGTCAGACGGGCCAAACGGGTCAAGGCTCTTCGAACGTCAGAAGACTCAAGGACGGTACGGATGTACAGATCAATGCATAGAAGCATTTATAGATGCAAAGAAAGGACAGAAAGAAAGGTCTAAAGATGTCTAGAGAATAAAGAGAAAAAGGAAAGCAGGTCCAAAGGAAAAAAAGAAAAGGAAGAAAGGTATAGTTTGCTATTAGGTTGGAGGCCATCGCTTCTAGGTTGGAGGCCATCTCAAAGAAAGGAATCACTTGGCTTGTGAGGAGAGAACAGGCTTCGCCGCCCGGTTCAACAGGTGCGATGAGTCTTTCTTTCAGGTGGTTGGCCACCCTACCAACAAGCAACCAAATCACGAAAGCTAGCATGCTAGCTGAGTTCTTCTTTGCTTTAGCAATTGGTAGTGGGATGAGCTGTGTGCCTTAAAGCTTGATATATCACCCCCCCCCTCCCCCCCCACAGTTCGACTCCCAGCTGCGCCGTGTAGCGGGGGTTGGTTGAACGTGTGAACGTGGTTGGTTGGGTGTAAACGGTGGCTTGGTGTAAACGGTGCTGCTGCTGCTGCTGCCGCTTTGCTGCTTGCTGCTGCTGTTTGCTGCTGCCGCTGGTTGCCGCTTTTGTAGCTGCTGCTTTGCTACTTGTTGCGGCTTGGTGCTGCTGCTGCTGTTGCTGACGACGCCGCCGCCGCCGCCGCTGCTGCTGCTGCTGCTTGCTGCTTGCTGCTTGCTGCTGCTGCGGCTTGGTGCTGCGCTGCTGCTGCGTGGTGCTGCTGGCTGGCTGCTGGCGGTTGCTGCTGGCTGCTGGCTGCTGGCGGCTGCTGCTGCTGCAGCAGCTGCCGTTGCTGCTGCTGCTGGCTGCTGCTTGCTGCAAAGGACTTGTACTTCACTGTTACAAATTCTTTACCCCTTTTTCTAACCTAATGCATGCATAAGCGGGGGGTAAATTTACCCCCCCAGATTTGCCATAACCATAAGCCGGCTATTTCCTCAAGACACTCTACTCCATATACCTTTTACCCTTTCTTCTCCTACACTACGGACGCCCTAGTGTATATACAGCCCGTGTGATGTCAGAAATGCTTACCCCTCTTTCCGACTCAAGGCATACAAAAGCGGGGGGTAAATTTTCCCCCCAGATTTGCCGATCACGCATCTTGGTGCCTGCCAACGAGTGCACCCGTGTTGTTCCAATGTACCCTTCCCAGTCGGCGATGTCACATTTACATTCTTTAGCGCAAAGTATGTACGTAGCAACCTTTCTCCCAAAACATGGAATCACTACATGCTTTGCCGACTATGTAAATAGTACATCCGGTGCGATTCGGCTAGCTTTCGACCTCCTCCCCCTGGCCTCAAGTATTCAAACGTCGCTGTACCGATGAATGGGAGAAAAAAAGGGCACACTTAGAACGTTGGTCGCAAGAGCTGGATCAGTTGCTGGATCACGGATGCATTAGCACTTTACTGCAGAAACGACCTGGACCTGGAAACAGACCTTATAAAGGGCCGAGAACAACAGGTGTACACTGTTTGCATCACCGATTCATTGGCTCTGTGCAGGTACGTCCAGAAAGCGTCCTTTTTGGATTTCACGACCGAACTATCACTGTCTTCGTTGGGCAGTGAGTGATAGTGGTCCACTGCCCCCCCTGCCTTTAAACACACACACCACGCCGATATCGGCGCTCAAGAGAGGTACTAGCCACCTAACAAGCCTTAGAAAGAAAGACAAGGAAAAACAAAGAGCAAAAGAAGAGGGCAAGAGAGAAAGACAGGAGTAGTTACGAGGCACGCTAGTTATGAAGCCTTCAAGTTACTGAATACTTAGCCGAATGAATTAGGTGCACTAGTTAGCGACCGCGACTTTAGTCTTAGACCGCCCGGGTAGGAAGGACTAGGACAGGAGCTTCAGAAGGAAAGGCACCAACACACAAGTGTGTTGAGTGCGACTTCCTTCTGTTGTTACCCTACATAGCGGGTGGGATAAAAAGTATGAATTCTCGTGCAAGGAGGGGGGGTTTTGTGTGGCTCAGGGGCATTGCCGTAACCAGCGCTCCCTTGACTGAAAGGCACCTAAAACCTAAAGAAAGGCCTCAAGAAAACGGAAAGCAACAGCAGGAAAGAAAAACCAAAAGAACAAAAAGAGGGATTACTTAGTGGCTCGCCTATTGGTTCTCTGCTCACGTTGCTCACTCTCCTCACGCGACGTGTCACTGTTCCCTCTGTAGGTCAATCTCAGTACGCCTGCGGCATTCGATCAGCAATCTCAAGCAAAAACGACTCAAGCTCCCTTGACAAAAGTGTGTTTGAACGTATCAAAAAGGTTTCGTTTGCGCACACGATGTGTCACGTTCAATCTGTAGTTTGATCTCAGGAGGCCCTGCGGCATTCGATCAGCAATCTCATGCAAGAAACGTAAGCTAGTGGAAGTCAGAGGGAAGGTCACAAGAAGGACAGGGGAAATCAGTGGGAGTCCCCCAGATCTGGGTCTACGCACACGCAGCGCCCCTCGATGGGGATCACACCACAGCCCTCAGTGGGACTCTGTGGCGACACACACTCAGAACGTTGCTCGCAAGAGCTGGATCAGTTGCTGAATCACGAATGCATTAGCACTTTACTGCAGAAACGACCTGGACCTGGAAACAGACCTTATAAAGGGCCGAGAACAACAGGTGTACACTGTTTTGCATCACGGATTCATTGGCTCTGTGCAGGTACGTCCAGAAAGCGTCCTTTCTGGATTTCACGACCGAACTATCGCTGTCTTTGTTGGGCAGTGAGTGATAGTGGTCCACTGCCCCCCCTGCCTTTAATTTTTTTAACTAGTTTACAGTGTGCGCAGCCTTGGAAACAGGCTTTGACACACACTCAGATGGTTGCTCGCAAGAGCTAGGATCAGAATGAAGTCCCACTTTAGCGAGTACATTACCGGCTGCGTTGTAGACCTTGACTGGTAGAAAAGGAAGGTACAAACCGAAGGGTGAAGAGGTCCACGGAATTGGAGATGTTTGAACAATGTTTGGTAACTCCTGGCATGCTGAGAAGCGGCTTAAAATTCAGCAGGTACACGAGAAGGCGTCCCTTCTCGCTTCACAATCTCAAACCACCGTCTTCGTTGGGCAGTGGATGGAATGAGATTTATTGCCCCCCTGCTTCTTTTTCGTTTGCTTTGTCTTTTTCGCATCCCTGCCTCTTCGTTCTCAATTAGTGGCGATGCCTTTGGGTCTAGCGGCCTCTTGTTCCTAGTAGCAAGGCCAGGAGCTACTAGTAGCATCCAGCCTTCTAGTAAAACCTACGGCAGGCATACTTACCAGGCCCAAATTTTGGAAACAGGT